TAAATTCAGGCTAACTCTCGTCTATACTGTGTAATGAGCATCATTGGCAGTATGGGCATTAGAATTGGCCTGGTCAACTACGTCTTCGTTGTGGTAAGTTTAACCTTGTAACAATCAGTTGCTAAATCAATAGAGAATTGGATTTAGCACAATCATAGGCGGCTTTGTATTTATTTGATTTGGATTATGTTTATATAATAACCATAAATCTGAGCAAGATGCTCTAATGATACCCTACTTAATAGTTGTCGACGCAAGTATTGACATCGTTTAATTCTGATACAAAAGTCTATGGCTCAAAATAAGCCAAGGCGGAAGCATGAGAATCGCATAGTTGTTTACTTACATTCATAATTGAGGTGGAATACAGCCAGTTTTACCTCCTCCAGAGAGAGAGAAAAGTCAGTATCTTGCTGTTTAGTTGGGCCTAAGTCCTCTTCCTTGGTTGCCTTTGTTGCAGAAGTCTCGTCGCTTTCTGTTCCACCGGAGTTTATCCGCAATGTCTAAGTGAGAAATTGCAAATAAATTTGCGACTCGGCTTAACTACTACCTTTAAGCATTGAGGTAGTCGTTGGAGCCCATTTTTGATATGATTACTTCAGTGTAAAAGATCACCTTTTTGCCTTTAATGTGACCTAAAGGAGAGGAATTGTGTAAGAAAAATACAAAGTACCCTGGTAGAACTAATTTTTATTGTATATACTGAAACAACTCCGGCACTATACCCATGGCGGGTTGGCCTCAGAATTTCTTGCCTTTGCTCATTAGCTAGAAAGTTTTCTGTATTCCTGCAATTTCCCTATTCCCTTTCCACCGTGTTGACAAGTTGTACCAAGACGAGGCACATTTGGGCCATAGATTCGCACTCCGTGAGTCTTAAAGTCATAAAAGCAACCGTTTGACCTGCAAAATGACTTGGTGATGCATAATGCTAAAATTAAAAGATTTAATTGACAAATTTTATTCTACCAAATTCATTGGCAAATCATCTTGATCGTACATATATACATTAATGTTTAGTAGCAAATTTCGGACCAAGCTTCTGGCAAACAATGATTTGACATAATCAATTTTCACACTCCAATTTTCATTAATCAATTATCTCTGTGGGAAGGCTGAACAAGCTGATATGGGGCGGTAGAATTCATATCAGTACATCACCCTTTATTCCTCAGTTTTGGACACTATTTCTAT